ATATATATATATATACATGATATGTATAAATAGAGTCCTGATGTGGCGCTGTTGGTTAATGCTCTGGAATGCAAGGTCAGTTTGAACTGCATGGTCAGCAGGTCAAGCTCATCAGCTACTCCTTGGAAACCCTATACATGGTCGCTATGAGTTGGAACCGACTTGACGACACTTCGGAACAACAAATATATTTGTTTATTGTTGTTAAGTGTCATATTTATTGTTGTTAAGTATTGTTGAGTCGGTTCTGACTCATAGTTACCCTGTATAGGAGTGACTGGTGAGCTTGAACTGTCAACTTCGCAATTCAACCCAACCTTGTAGTCCAGCATATTAACCCGCACCATCACACAAGGACTATGATGTGGCTATTAGAAGAAGAAAGGTGAAAGTAAAAGATCTGAACAGAACATTTCCAGGGGCAGTTTAATAAGGCAAAGTCAAGTACAATAATGAAATATGATGGTGTGGTGCTGTAGGGTAAGCGCAGAAACACAAGATCAGTTTGAACCACAGGGTCAGTGGCTCAAACTCATCAGTTGTTCCTCACAAAACCTGTAGTGGGTTGCTATGAGTCAGAAATGACTTGATGGCATTTAACAACAACAACAACATGGGAAAAACTTTGAATGATGCAGAAAGCATCAAAAGAAGATGGAAGGAATTCAGAGTCACGGTACCAAAAAGAAACAGTAGAAGTTCTAACATTTTAAGAGGTAGCATATGATCAAGAGCCAATGGTACTGAAGGAAAAAATCCAAGGTGTACTAATATTGGCAAAGAACAAATTGGATTTGATTGAATTGACTGAAGATAAATTGAAATCTTTCAACAAACTGATGCAGCCCTGAGGAGAGGTGGTGCTTAATGGCAGATTAGGAAGAAATGTGCTACAGATCTCCACTAGCAACAATGCAATACTGGATGAAGCAGGTTCAGGGGACGATCCCAGAATTCTGAACAACACATAAAGGGATATTTAGAAAGTTTGAAAGTTTACAGCAAGTGGAATTAGTAGAAGAAGCAAGAAAGCTGGTGTTGTCTGTTCTACCAGTCCCAGTGGCTCCCAGAGAGGCCATCTTGGAAGTGATGGAGTGGTTGAATGATCAGATGAACACTCCTACCACAGACATATGACTTATCTTCGGAGATGAAGGTGTGGACATTCTTTTTTTTCCCCTCTGTTCATTGGTCTCTCGCTGTCTGCACACCTTGATTCTGGTGACTAGAGGGGGTGCTTGAGTGATTGGAAAATCCCCACTCATGGAAGGTTCCACTACTCATGTGCACAGATGTGCTCAGCAGATTCTAAGAAAGGAAAAGATTCTCTTAAAGCCAAATGGCAGTGCAAAATTGTTACCGCCAGCCCTGATCAGTTTATCACTTGGAAGAAATCCTGAACGGGCATTGTGGAGTGGGAGAGAGACACACTAAAAAGGAAACAGGACACAAATTAAATCCTGAGTATGTCATAAGGACCTACAGTGACATCTTGAAATTTTTCAGGCAGCCTTGAAGGCAAGAAGCTGAGAGAGGCACGCTAAAGTCATACTCATATTTTGCTAAATAATTTTTTTTTCTTTCTCTTTTTCTGTGATTAAAGACTATAGTATCCAATATGATTTTGTTTTGTTTTGCTTTTTTTGCTGTTGCTGTGGTTGTTTTTTGTTGGGGGTGGAGGTCCCTTTTTTACCATTAGTGGGATTTTTCTTGCCCTACATTACCCAAGAAAAGACAGCAATTATGGTCATATAGTTAAGCTACAATCACACCCTATAAGATCCTACCATCTAGGCAAAAGCCAATATGAGCTTCTATATATTAGATAGGGAGCCAACACCTGTTAACAGTTATTCTGGGTTGAGTACTAAAAAAAGTGAAGAGGGAAGCCCATATTCTGATCACATCTACTTGTAGGCAATCAGAAAGCTTAATAATATATCAACATACATTCATCTAATTATTGAAATCACAGATAACTACTGAAAATGCCCAAGGAACAGATGACCATATCAGCACTTGTCCAGAAACAAGATCGTGTGACTGACACAAATGAGCAGGAGGTAGACATAGATATCACATTGGAAGGAGGGCAGGCTTTGGAAATGCCTGAGAAAGAATTCAAGAAAATGATACTTAGATAGATCCAAACTATCCATAGAGGGTTTGGAAAAAATAAGGAAGAAGTCAGGAAAGCACTACAGGAACAATCAAATAAGATAGATACAGAATCAGAAACAATTCAAAACCAGCAAAAATGGGTCCAAAAGATTAATAATAAAATATCAGAAGTGGACAATACACTGAAAGAGAAAGGGAGTATAAATGAAGAGATGGAAGCCAGAACTAGTGAGCTGTAAGACAAATTTCTCAATACTGTTAAGATAGAAGGGCAAGCAGAAAATAGGATAAAAAAACTGAAGTAAGTCTAAGATTCATGTTAGACAACATGAAGAGGAATAACTTAAGACTAACTTAAGCATTCCAGAACAGGAAGAATCACACAACTCCACAGAGGAAACAGTTGAAGAGCTTCTGGAAGAAAATCTCCCTAATATTCTGAAAAATGAAAAGATAAGCATTCAAAAAGCTGAAGGAACCCCAGAAATGACAGAGCCCAAAGAAATTCACCAAGACATATCATAATCAAGCTCTTCAAAATCAAAGTTAAGGAGAGAATCCTGAAAGCAGCTAGGGGAAAGAGAAGTGTTACATATAAAGTAAGCACATCAGAATAAGCTTCAATCTCTCAGCAGAAGTCATGCAGGCAAGAAGGCAATGGGGAGATATATAAAACACCCTGAAAGAAAGAAACTGCCAACCAATAATTGTCTACCCAACAAAGCTGTCAATCAAATATGAAAATGTAATAAAAACACTCCAGGATAAACAGAAGCTAAGGTATTTCCCCAAAGGCAACCATGCTACAAAACATCCTAAAGGGAGTTCTTTGGACTGAAAACCAACAAGGACAGACAACAATCAGAGATTAATATATGTGGCAGAAATACCAGGAACTCAATCATCACATGGAAGAGTCCAGAACAAAACAAAACTATAAGAATGAATTCAGTTTATGATCAAAATAATCACAATATTAAAAAAGATAAAAACATAGGA